CCATATCTATGCTCAAGTGACTTTTCAACAAGGATTCTAAGCTCATTCAATGGGAAAGGGCAGTCTTTCAACAAATAGTGCTGGGAAAAGATATCCATGTGTAAAAGAATGACTTAATCGTTATCTAACAGTTCTCATATACAAAAATTAAAATGGGTTGGGTGTAGTAGTCATGGCTGTAATCCCAGCACTTTGGGAGGCTGAGGCGGGCAGATCACTTAAGCTCGGCTGGGAAACCCAGACCAGCCTGGGCAACATGCTGAAACCCCGTCTCTACAAAAAAAATGCAAAAACAGGCCAGTGTGGTGGCTCATGCCTGTAATCCTAGCACTTTGGGAGGCCAAGGTGGGTGAATCACCTGAGGTCAGTAGTTTGAAACCAGCCTAACCAGTATGGTGAAACTTTGTTCTACTAAAAATACAAAAAATTAAACGGCGTGGTGGCATGTGCCTGTAGTCCCAGTTACTCAGGAGGTTGAGACAGGAGAATTGCTTGAACCCAGGAGGCAGAGGTTGCAGTGAGCCGAGACTGCGCCACTGCTCTCCAGCCTGGGCAACAGAGTGAGACTCTGTCTCAAAAAAAAAAAAGAAAATTAGCTGGGCATGGTGGCACACGCCTGTAGTCTCAGCTGCTCGGGGCGTTGAGGTGGGAGGATCATTTGAACCCAGGAGGCGGAGGCTGCAGTGAGCTGTGACTGCGCGACTGTACCCAGCCTGGGTGACAAAGTGAGACTGTCTCAAAAAAAAAAAAATAGACATGCTAATAAAATATAAGAGCTGAAAACTATAAAAACTCTTAGATGAAAACATAGGGGAGAAGTTTTATAATATCAGTTTGGCAATTATTTCTCATATGACACTAAAAACAGAGACAAAACATGAAAAGAATAAATTGACTTTATTAAAATTAAAAACTTTCATGTGTCAAGAACACTATCAATGGAATGAAAAGACAACCCATAGAATGGGAGAAAATACTTGTAAATAGTATATTTTATAGACAGATTAATATCTAGAATACATAAAGAACTCCTACAATTCAACAAAAACAAAACCCATAATTAAAAAATGGGCAAAGACTTGAATAGACATTTTTACAATGAAGATATATAGATGAGCAAAACACATGAAAAGATACTCAATATTACTAATCAGTAGGGAAATGAAAATCGAAATTATAATAAGATGTCTCTTTACACCCATTGGATGGCCACACAAAACAAACAAACCAGAAAACACGAAATGCTGGCAAGGATGTGAAGAATTTGAACACTGTTTTTGCTTGTAGGAATATAAAATGGTCCAGCCACTGTGAAAACGGTGACGGTGGTTCTCAGAAAATGAAATACTAAATTACTTCCCATTTCGGAAATATACCCAAAGAAATTGAAAGCAGAGACTTGAATAGATATTTATTGCTATTTTTTTTTTCTTCTTAAGACAGGGCTCTGTTCTGTTGCCCAGGCTGGAGTGCAGTGGTGCGATCTTGCCCACTGTAGCTTCAACCTCCTGGGCTCTGGGCGATCTCACAATCTCAGCCTCCGAAATAGACAGGACTATAGGCATCTGCCACCACACCTGGCTGTTTTTTTTTTTTTTAAATAGAGATAGGGTCTCACTGTGTTGCCCAGAGTGGTCTCAAACTCTGGGTTCAAGTGATCCTCCTGCCTCAGCCTCAAAGCACTGGGCTTACAGGCATGAGCAAATCATGCCTGGTTTGAACAGACACCTGTGCTGGCCAAATGTTCACAGCAGCATTATTCACTATAGCCAAAAGGCAGAAGCAACTCAAAATGCCCATCAACAGATGAATGAATAAAAACAAATGTGATATTAAATAGAAAGTACATTCACATTTATGGAACATTTTTTATTTTGTTCTTTTTTTTTCTTTTTCTTCATACAATGGAATATTATTCAGCCTTTGAAAAGGAAGGGAAATTCTGGCACAAGCTATATGGATGAACCTAGAAGACATTATGCTAAGCCAGTCACACACAAAAACAAAAACAAATACCGTATGATTTCAATTAATATGAGGAACCTAGAGAATAACTACAGAAACAGAAAGTAGAATAGTAGTTTCCAGAAGCTGGGGAAAGGGAGAAATGGATACAGAATTTCAGAATGAGAAGATGAAAAAGTTCTGAAGATAGATGGTAGTAATACTGAAAGCTGCAATAACGATATGAATGTATTTAATAATTACATGAACTGTACACTTAAAAAATGGTTAAAAATGGTAAATTTTGTAAGGTGTGTATATTAGGAAAAACAGACCAAAGTCTGTCTCTATACTAATCTTTCTTCCATATTATTTAATATAAACTCTTTTTAAATGCTGTAAAAACACATACCTTTCTCTGCAAAAGAGTGCTAAGGACTCAGTTCTTTGGCCTGCTTATTCCAGTTGAATGTACTTTGTAGCTTTAAATAGACTGGTCTGTTTTGGAGAAGGACCAATTAATGAATGGTTGGTGCAAGTGATACAGGACTCTCAATTTTGGACTTTTGATTTGTATTCATGGAATAGGTAGTGTGGATTCTGGCATCATTTGCAACACCTGAATGTATAAGCACATGAATAATCTGTATGTTCTAGAAAGTTGTCAACTATATATATTTTGTCAAATTATATATATATCTGTGTGCATGTAAGAAGGCTACAAAATAGTAATTCTAGGTTATGATTGATTTTTTTTTTTTTTTTTTGAGACAGGATCTCCCTTGGTCACCAGGCTGGAGAGGCAGTGGCGCCCATCTCACCACTGTGGCCTCGACCTTCTGGGCTCAAGTGATCCTCCCACCTCAAGCCCTGGGCTAGCTGGGACTACAGGTGCAAACCACCATGCCTGGCTAACATTTTTTTTTTTTGAGGTGGAGTCTTGCTTTGTCACCCAGGCTGAGGCAGTGGTGATCTCAGCTCACTGCAACCTCTGCCTCCCAGGTTCAATTCTCCTGCCTTAGCCTCCTGAGTGGGCTGTAACTACAGGCGCATGCCACCACACCCAGCTACTTTAAAAATATTTTCAGTAGAGAAGGGGTTTCACCATGTTAGCCAGAATGTCTCGATCTCCCACCTTGTGATCCACCTCCTTGGCCTCCCAAAGTGCTGGGATTACAGTCGTGAGCCACCATGCCCGGCCTGTATTTTTTTAGAGATGGAGTTTTACACACACCCAGGTTAGTCTCAAACTCATGAGCTCAAGCCATCTGCTCTGCCTTGCCTCCCAAAATGCTAGGATTACAGGCATGAGCCACCGCAGCTAGCCATTTTTTTTTTTTTTTTGAGATGGAGTCTCACTCTGTCACCCAGGTGGAGTGCAGTGGCACAATCTCGGCTCACTGCGACCTCTGCCTCCCAGGTTCAAGCAATTCTCCTGCCTCAGCCTCCTGAGTAGCTAGACTACAGGCATGCACTACCACACCCAGCTAATATTTTTTCTGTATTTTTAGTAGAGACAGGGTTTCACCACGTTGCCAGTTGTCTCAAACTCCTGACTTCAAGTGATCCACCACTCAGCCTCCCAAAGTGCGAATTACAGGCATGAGCCACTGTGCCCGGTATCCCCCTTTTTTTTTTTTTTTTTTTTTTTTTTAAGACAACGCCTTGCTCTGTTGTCCTGGCTGGAGTACAGCTGTGTGATCACTGCTCACTGTAGCCTCATAAATTCCCAGGCTCAAGTGATTCTGCTCCCCAGCTTCTACCAAGTAGCTGGGACCACAAGGCACACATCACCACGCTAGCTAATTAATTTTTTTGTAGAGATAGGATATTGCCATGTTGCCCAGTCTGGGTCTCAAACTCTTGGGCTAAAGTGATCCTCTTGCCTCAGTCTCCCAAAGTGCTGGATTATACAGGTGAAAGCTACCATGCCCCATATATAAATTTTATTTCTAGAAACAAGAATATTCGGTTTTGTTTTCATACTTTAAATTTATTGGAAAAAAAGCAAATTTTGTTCTCATTTTGTATGTGCCTGTGATGCATTTATAGTTTAAATTTATTGGAAAAAAAAGCAATTTTTTAAACATTTTGAGCACTTGAGATGCTTAGTCAAAACAGAATTTTTGCTCATGATACATATTCTAAGCTCAGATAAGAACATTTGAAAAGTAGCTCAGGAGTTCGAGACCTGGGCAACATGGTAAAACCCCATCTGTACCACAATACAAAAAATTAGCTGGAGTGGTGGCACTTGCCTGTGGTCCCAGCTACTCAGAAGGCTGAGGTGGGACGATCACTTGAGCCTGGGAGCAGAGGTTGCAGTGAGATGAGATCATGCTGCTATACTCCAACGTGGGTGACAGAGTGAGATCCTGTCTCAAAAAATAAAAACAGAAGAAAAGAAAAAGTAAAATCAGTCTAAACAAACAAAAAGGGACAGTAAATTTATAAAATTTGAAAATAAAAAACAAACTATAGGTTCAAAACAAAGATACAAGCACAGAGGATTTATAGGGCAGTGAAACCACTTGTATGCAGCTATAGTGACAGCTACATGTCATTATACATTTCTCAAAATCAATAAATTATTCAATACCAAGAGTGAACTAATGTAAACGGCTGGCTTTGGGTAATGTGTCAATAATGTAGGTTCATCAACTGTAACAAATGTATATTCTGTGTGGAATACTGATAATGGGGAGGTCACATGCCTCTGTAGAGAAAGGGGAATATGAGAATGCCTGTACCTCTCTGAATTTTACTGTGAATCTCTACAACTGCTCTAAAAATCCAAATCCATTAAAAAAAAAAAGTATAGATTCAAGAGAAAATGAGTTAGAAAAACCATGTGATCTAATCCACTAAGACATTTCCTTAAATTCTTATCTCAGAAAAATATAAAACAAAATGCATTCATAACTTTACCATGTGATGGAATTATAACTTTATGTCCTGTTGTTCCTGTTAATGGGGCTGTACATTGTTAGAAGAGTTTGACCAGGTAAAATTGATATATTTTCAGCAGTAATGCTTGAAGAAGGAGCGATTTTCACTCGGTTCCTTCTGTTATGATCTTGCCCATAAGCATTTCCCTTTGGGGAATCCTCCAAAGAGTCTTCTCTTAGCACTCCCTGCGGTAGGAGAACTGTAGCGTTCATGGACAGAAATTGGAGACAATGGTTGCATATCTAAAAAAAATAATAATAAATTTAAAACAGAAATGTATTCCAAAATAATAAATTAGGTTTATCATTCACCTAACAGATAGTGAGTTGAGATACTTATGCTGGGCACTAGCTAGATATGAATAACATGGCCTTTGCCCTCATGGAATATATAGTCTACTGGGAGAAAAAGGCATGAAATAAGTCACTACAGTAAAACGTGAAACATGAATACCATCTCCTGGTTTCTCAGAACCTCTGCCTAAATTAAAGGAGCAAAACATTAAGGATAAAGTAGAGGTTGAGAGGTAGAATGACGTGAGCACTAAATTTTAGTAATAGTCCAATATCTCCCAATCATACCTAGTAAAGAGCACCTGAGAAGAAGGGAAGCAAAAGCAAAATCAGGAATTTGGGTCACAGTTTTGCCTCTTTGTGCATATTTGCACTCTAAGCAATTTAAGGCAGTAGCTCTGGCTTTCTAATTTAGTAGATATGAATCATCTTTCAGTAAATCCACTGAAGATAAGTGAGTAAAGATGATATAAATCTGCTACTCTTGCCTTAATCTGAAGGTTGGCAGTAGTGTGTTGATCAAAAATAAAGTAAGGATTATGGATTTTGCCTTTCTTCCTGTGCTATCCTTTCACAGGATCTGCTTTCCATTCCCTCTCTACCAGCTGCACGGCTTTTCAGCCCTCTTACAACCTAAGATCTTTTCTAAATCTTTTTCCACAATTCTCCTCAACCAATGATTCCTTACAGGTAGGTCAATAATATGCTTTTAAAGCAAAAGTATTTATTTATTTATGAGAATGGAGTCTCGCTGTCACCCAGGCTGGACTGCAGTGGTAACCTCAGCCTATCGGTGACCTCCACCTCCTGGGTTCAAGCAATTCTCTCGCCTCAGCCTCCCAAGTGCTGACTACAGGCGTGTGCCACCATGCCTGGCTAATTTTTTCTATTTTTAGTAGAGACAGGGTTTTACCATGTTGGCCAGACTGGTCTTGAACTCCTGACCTCAGGTGATCCACCTGCCTCAGTTGGGACGCCATGCTTGAGTCACCATGCCTAGCCTTCATTATTTATTTTTACATTCACTAATTAGTCATGTAATCTACTTTCTTTTTCTTTTTTTTTGAGATGGAGTCTTGCTCTGTTGCCCAAGCTGGGAGTGCAGCATGATCTCGGCTCACTGCAAGCTCCACCTCCTGGGTTTACACCATTCTCTGCCTCTAAGATCCCGAGTATGGGACCACAGGCGGCCACCACCACTTCCAGCTAATTTTTTGTATTTTTAGTAGAGATGGGGTTTCACCGTTAGCCAGGATGGTCTCGATCTCCTGACCTCGTGATCTGCCCACCTTGGCCTCCCACAGTGCTGGGATTACAGGCATGAGCCACCGTGCCTGGCCCTGTAATCCATTTCTCAAACATGCTTAAAATGTATTGAAATGACGTGATGATGATTTAGCAGCTCTGTATTAGTGAGGTGATTGGAAAATAGTAACAGTTTAATAAAAATCTTTCCATAATTCTTGGGCTTATGAAAGTAGCTTACTCCCATTTCAGTAAACAAGTGCAAATTTCTATAGTAGTTTCCGTTACTCCTTTACAAGAGTTCATGTGAATGCCTTATATCTAAGAAATCCACGCAAGCCCTTGAATCTGACTAGGTAATATTCAAAGGTGATGCATTTCAAGGCAAGACTCTAGCTGAAGCCATAAAGTTAGCTGCAATCCCTGAAATGATCTTTCTTAGCACAGTACTGGAACAGCTATGGTGGATACACTAACAAGAATGTAATGAATATACAAATGAAAAGCAGATCCAAATTTAGAAAGAAACATGACAATCTGTCAAGGTACAGAAAAGATGCTCACTTAGTTACAAATTATATGAGAGGAAGGTGGCAAGCACAGTTTAAACTATTCTTGGTAAGTTTTTAAAAGAAAAATAATTCCCAATATTTTGAAAAGTTTTAAATTATAGTATACTGAATATTTTTAATACTATTTTTCATTTACCTAAACATTAATAACTGACAGTAAGAAGAGGCTTTCTTTTTTGTTTTAACATTTTGACAAGATTTGTAAAGGCCAAAAACAATTATAATTATTCCCAATAATTAAAAAATTAATGATATTCACATCTTAATGCAATCTTGTTTTTTTTGTTTTTTTGTTTTTTTTGGAGACGGAGTCTCACTCTGTCGCCAGGCTGGAGCGCAGTGGCACTGTTCGGCTCACTGTGTTCCACTCCTGGGTTCCAGCACCTCTGCCTCACTTTGTTTTAGCCTCCCAAGTAGCTGGGACTACAGGGGCACACTCTGCCATGCTTGGCATTAATTTTTTGTATTTTAGTAGGACTGGTTTCACTGTGCTGTCTTAGCTGGTTCTGAACTCCTGAGTCAGCAATCCGCCTGCCTCAGCCTCCCAAAGTGCTAGGATTACAGGTGTGTCACTGCTTGTGGTTTTTTTTTTTTTTTTTGAGATAGAGTCTTGCTCTGTACCTCCAGGCTGGAGTGGCACATCGCTGCTCACTGCAAAACCATCCCCTGGGTTCAAGCAATTCTCCTGCCTTAGCCACCTGAGCAGTTGGGATTACAGGTGTGTACCACCATGCCTGGCTAATTTTTGTAGTTTTAGTAGAGACGGGTTTCACCATGTTGAAGCAGGGCTTGGCCCGAACTCCTGACCTCAGATGATCCACCTGCCTGCCTCTCAAAGTGCTGGGATTACAGGCGTGAGCCACTATGCCTGACTTTATGCCCTTATGCAATCTTTTTTTTTTTTTTAGGATGGAATTCTCGCTTGTCACCCAGGCTAGAGGGCAATGGTGTGATCTCAGCTCACTGCAACCTCCGTCTTCCAGGTTCAAGTGATTCTCTGCCTCTGCCTTCGAATAGCTGGGATTACAGGCACCCGCCACCACACCCAGCCAATTTTTGTATTTTTAGTAGAGATGGGTTTCTCCATCTTGGCCAGTCTATCTTGAACCTGACCTCATGATCCACCCGCCTCAGCCTCCCAAAGTGCTGGGATTACAGGCGTGAGCCACTGCGCCCGGCTTTTTTTTTTTTTTTTCTTTTTGAGACAGAGTCTTGCTCCATCCCCCAGGTTGGGGTCCAGTGGTGCGATCTTGGCTCACTGCAACCTCCTGAGTTCAAGTGATTCTCCTGCCTCAGCCTCCTGAGTAGCTGGGATTACAGGTGCCCACCACCACATCCAGCTAATTTTTGTGTTTTGGGTAGAGACGGGGTTTCACCATGTTGGCTAGGCTGGTCTTGAACTCCTGGACCTCAGGTGATCTGCCCGCCTTGGCCTCACAAAGTGCTGGGATTACAGGTGTGAGCCACTGTGCCTGGCCTGCAGTCATTTTTATGATCCTGCATTGCATGTAAAGCAAAGACTGCAGACGGACAGACAAACACACATACACAATCACACAGAGTCCAAAAATCGATGTACCATACTATGTAACCTGAATACTTGTTCATCTAAGATTTGTTAAGGGATACTATGTGGTCAGGAGATTTTAACTGATTTTTTAAAATCCAAGAACTATATAATCCACAAGATGCACACATCAGCTCGCTACGTCACAAGAGAAAATAAGGAAGAATGAACTAAAATATTTCTATTGGTGAGTTTCAAAATGAACTATTTTAAGAGTATAAATAACTAGTTTATTAGATGAACTTAAGCAGTCCAAAGATAATACAAATTTTATTTTGCTTTTGCTTTAAATGTTTTTCTACAGAGACATACACAGGCAAAGGAAGAATATAAATTTGTGAAATTTGGAAAAGTAGGTATTTAGCTTAGTGATATGGTTTGGCTGCGTCCCCACCCAAATCTCATCTTGATTGTCCCCATAATTCCGTGTCATGGGAGGGACCAGGTGGGAGGTCACTGAATCATGGGGGTGGGTCTTTCCCATGCTGTTCTCCTGAGAGTGAATAAGTCTCACGAGATCTGATGATTTTATCAAGGGGAGTTCCCCTGCACAAGCTCTCTTGCCTGCTGCCATGTAAGAGGTGCCTTTGCTCTTCCTTTGCCTTCCACCATGATTGTGAGGCCTCCCCAGTCATGTGGAACTGTGAGTAAATCAAACCTCTTTCCTTTATAAATTACCTAGCTTTGGGTATGTCTTTATTAGCAGCATGAGAAGAGACTAATACACTTATCTTTTTTTTTCCTTTCTTCTTTTCCTTTTTTTTGGGACATGAGGGGGGTCTCACTATTTTGCCCAGGCTGGGTTCAAACACAATCCTCAATCCTCCTGCCTCAGCCTCCTGAGTAGCTAGGACTACAGAAAGATGCCATCATGCCTGACATTAGCTTATTTAAACAGTTCTCCATTAGCATTCAGGAAAGATTACATACATTTATTAAATAAATTATATTTAAAATTCTATTAATATAGTATACACTATAGTATATTATATATATATAATAGTATATAATGTAGTGTACAATGAGCTACACAGGGGTGCTGGCACAAGCATCAAGCTCCTTTTTGAATCCTGCTGAAAAAATTAGATTTCTTAATAATATACTCACAAGACTTAAAATTTTCTTTGAAAAAAAACCCCAAATACCCTTTGTTACTTTTTCATTCCTTTACCAATGTTGAACCTACCTCTTCGAAGACTCCCACTGTCAGTTCGAACTTCCTTGACTCTTGGGTGCATTAGAGGAGACATTGGCATCATGGGAAGATGTCCCTGTACATTTCCTCCATTTCCTGTTTCAAAGTTATTTGGGAATATAACCTGTAGAAAACAAAAACCCTTGGGTTTACATATAAACTTGCTGATTAAAACTTATTAAAAATCTTTTCTTTTTCTTTTTTTGAGATAAAGTCTCACTCTGTTTCCCAGGTTGGAGTGCAGTGGCACGATTCTGGCTCACTGCAACCTCCACCTCTCGGGTTCAAGTAATTCTCCTGTCTCAGCCTCCTGAGTAGCTAGGACTACAGGTGCATGCCATCACGCCCAGCTAATTTTTGTATTTTTAGTAGAGACGAGGTTTCACCATGTTGGCCAGGCTGATCTCGAACTCCTGACTTCAGATGATCCACCCACCTCAGCCTCCCAAAGTGCTGGGATTACAGGCGCGAGTCACTGTGCCTGGCCGAAAAAGTGTTTTCTTAACTTTTATTTTTACTATTTTTATTTCTCTTTTCTCACTTCTTCACAAAATACAACTTGGATAAAGTGCTCAATTCTTAATATTGGCACAAACTTATGGAAGAGTTCATTTCATTTAACATATAATTTATATAGGTAAGTTACCAACCACAAGAACTAAACCTATGAGGTAGGCAGTATCATTCTCCATTTAGGGATGAGAAAATTGAGGATCTGAATGTGAAATTTGCCCAAGGTCATACAATTAGTAGTTATAAGAGCAACGGCTTCAATGCTAATCCTTCTTGAGTTCACAGCTTTTTGAACTTGAAGGAGTTTATTCTTCAATGGAAATAAACTGATGAACTTACTGAAGTGGCCCAGTGAGTTACTGTCTGCTGCAAAGACCAAAGAAAGTATGGAAGAGAGATTTCAAGCAACCATCTTCTTTTCAATTCCTCCTGGCCTTGGACAGTTCTAGTAGTTTGGGATTAGGGAAAAATTTAAGAAGACTAGTGAAGTACATAAGGAGACAAAACAAAGAAGAATCAAATAATTTATATAGGTAAGTTACCAACCACAAGAACTAAACCTATGAGGTAGGCAGTATCATTCTCCATTTAGGGATGAGAAAATTGAGGATCTGAATGTGAAATTTGCCCAAGGTCATACAACTAGTAAGTTATAAGAGCAACGGCTTCAATACTAATCCTTCTTCGAGTTCACAGCTTTTTTGAACTTGAAGGAGTTTGAAGTTCTTCAATGGAAATAAACTGATGAACACTGAAGAGTGGCCCAGTGAGTTACTGTCTGCTGCAAAAGACCAAAGAAGTATGGAAGAGAGATTTCAAGCAACCATCTTCTTTTCAATTCCTCCTGGCCTTGGACAGTTCTAGTAGTTTGGGATTAGGGAAAAATTTAAGACTAGTGAAGTACATAAGGAGACAAAACAAAGAAGAATCAAAAGACAGGAGTTACAAAAGAATAACAGAAGTAGAGAAAAAAAACAACACTTCGATTCTCACATGATACTACTATCAAAAATGTAATTTGTGTACAACTCTGGGCATACATTTTTAATTTTTATTTATTTATTCATTTAATTTTTTTTTGAGACAGTCTTGCTCTGTTGTCCAGGCTGGAGTGCAACAGCACCATCTCAGCTCACTGCAACCTCCGCCTCCTGGGTTCAAGCAATTCTCCTGCCTCAGCCTCCCAAGTAGCTGGGATTATAGGTGTGTGCCACCACGCCCGGCTAATTTTTTTGTATTTTTAGTAGAGACAGGGTTTCACCATGTTGGCCAGCCTGGTCTCAAACTCCTGACCTCAGGCAATCAACCCACCTTGGCCTCCCAAAGTGCTGGGATTACAGTCATGAGCCACTGTGGCCGGCCTCTGTTTTTTATTTTTTAATTCTAAATGCCACTAATGAAAAGTGTTCAATCTTCATACAGACATTTGAAAAATTTTAAATAAGTTTAACGGTTTCCTAGACATGATACCAAAAAGCACAAGCAAAGGAAAAAAATATCTGAATTGGACACCATCAAAATTAAAAATATTTGCATTTCAAAGACACCATCAAGAAAGTGAAGACAGGCCAGGCGCAGTGCCTCATACCTGTAATCCCAGCACTTTGGAAGACCATCCTAGCTAACACGGTGAAACCCCTTCTCTACTAAAAATACAAAGAAATTAGCTGGGCGTGGTGGTGGGTGCCTATAGTCCCAGTTACTCGGGAGGCTGAGGCAGAGAATTGCTTGAACCGGGAGGCAGACGTTGCAGTGAGCCGAGATTGCGCCACTGCACTCCAGCCTGGGTGACAGAGCAAGACTCCGTCTTAAAAAAAGAAAAACAGAAAGAAAAAAAAATTAGCCGGGTGTGGGTGTGGTGGTATGTGCCTGTGGTCTCAGCTACTTGAGAGGCAGAAGGGCTGTTTGGGCCGGGGAAGTTGCGGGTGCAGTCAGTGTGCCACGTTTGCAACACTGAACACCAGCCCGGGCAACAGAGGGAAACCCCACCTTAAAAAAAAAGAGGAAATGAAATACTGATACATTCTACAACATGGATGAACCTTAAAAACATTATGCTAAGCGACAGACACCCAGTCAAAAGGAACTACATTTTTATGATTCCATTTATATGAAATGTCTAGAATAGGCAAATTTACGGAGACAGAAAGTAGATTAACAGTTACTTAGAGCTAGGGAGAAGATACAGGGGTAGGGAAGTGATAGCTAAAGGATGTACATTTCCTTTTGAAGTGATGAATATATTCTAAAATTGTGGTTATGGCTGCACATATCTATTTATATACTAAAACCACTGAATTGTACACTTAAAATGGGTGAACTGTATGGCATAGGAATTATCTCTCAATAAAGCTGTGTTTTTTGTTTTTTGTTTTAATGATAGGATTATCAGCCTTGCCCGGACTCACTTCTTCACAGGTAGGAACTTTGTTTGCAGAAACCTGGAGAGCCTCCCACAGTGCAGAATCATGACTCCATGCTAAACTCTCCAAAATCTGTTCTTCAATGCTGTTCAGGTGTTTCACCATGTCCCTCGAGAGCCCCTCTTCTGAGCGGATCACCACCTCAATAACCTGCAGAGGAGAAAGGTGAGAAGGCAATGTGGTTTCAAGCAGTTAGTTCTAGTCTGGACTTGCATGTAGGATTAGCTGTGGCTTTCTTCTTCTTCTTTTTGAGACAGAGTTTCCCTCTATTGCCCAGGCTAGAGAGCAGTGGTGCGATCTTGGCTCACTGCAACCTCTGCCTCACGGGTTCAAGTGATTCTTCTGCCTCAGACTCCCGAGTAGCTGGGATTACAGGCACCTGCCACCATACCCGGCAAATTTTTGTAGTTTTTAGTAGAGCTGAGGTTTCACCATGTTGGCCAGGCTGGTCTAGAACTCCTGACCTCAGGTGATCTGCCCGCCTAGGCCTCCCAAAGTGTTGGGATTACAGGTGTGAGTCACTGCACCCGGCCACTGTGGCCTTATTCTGTGGCACAGAACCAAAATCATCTTTGAACCATAATTCTGTGGCTTACTAACATCTTCTAATTTATAAAGGAGCTTTTAAGTTCTTTAAAATATGTTCACATACATTTCTATTTTTCATGTTTCATTTTATAAATGACAACCTGAGGCAATGATAGGTGAAAACTGGTCAACAGCCCAACAGTGGGAGAAGTCAGGTGTTAGGTTCCAAGTCTAGTTCTATTTTAAATGTATTGTTCCTTTCCAGACTATTTTTTCCGCTAACTCAAAATAACAGAATGAATGAACTATTTAAAGTGACTTTGCTTATATATACTATAATTCTATTTTAATAAGGGAAGTATCCAGAATAAAGTTTATATACACAAAATATTAATAATAGGAGTAATAATTAGATTATGATGTATGACTTTAATATTCACATTTATTTATTTATTTATTTATTTTGAGACGGAGTCTTGCTCTGTTGCTCAGGCTGGAGTGCAATGGCGCCATCTCGGCTCACTGCAATCTCCGCCTCCCAGGTTCAAGCCATTCTCCTGCCTTAGCCTCCCAGGTAGCTGGGACTACAGGCACATGCCACGATGCTCGGCTAATTTTTTGTATTTTTAGTAGAGATGGGGTTTTGCCATATTAGCCAGGATGGTCTCAATCTCCTGATCTCATGATCTGCCCGCCTCGGCCTCCCAAAGTGCTGGGATTATAGGCGTGAGTCATTGCGCCCGGCCCACATTTATGTTTATGATTTTCTTCAACCAGCACACATCATTTATGTCGTTTAAAAAAACAAAGGAGGGCGACACAGTGACTCATGCCTGTAATCCCAACACTTTGGGAGGCCACAGTGAGAGGATTGCTTGAGCCCAGGAGTTCGAGACCAGCCTGGGCAACATAGTGAAACCGAGTCTCTACAAAAAAAAAGGCATTTAGCTTCTTGAATAAAATAAGGATGTTACAAATAAAAACAAATTAGTATGAGGTTGTTGACAAAACTAAACTTTTTCCTAATGGCAAAAGTTGAATATATACATTAACATTAAAGTAAGTGTATAGTAGAATCACTTCTCCCTAAGAAACCTAAAAATACTTTAATCACACTCAATAATTCACAGAGATAAGCTTTCCAATGACCTGCATTTTCTACAACTTTAATTCAGGCATACTTTAGGTATAAAAATTTAACTCTTCAAACCAATTTTTGTATCACCAGTAGAAAAGTAGCCTAGATGACTAAATATTAACTAAATCATGCCAAGAAGCATAACAGTAGCATTAGTCTTAAATTTCCATACTATGTAACATTAAACGTTATTGACTGTGATGACTAAATGTTATTGAGGGTGATGATGTAGTTCAATAGCTATGACCTCTGTTTTATTTTGAAAAGATAATAAAAATAGTTGTAGCAAGAAAAATACTTAAGATTCATTCACACTGAATTAGCTCAAACTTGGGGAAGAAGCATAATCTATTATTACGGCTTTATTAGTTAGACTATCACCAAAATCAATTTTAGGTCTTTTTTCCTCTTGATAGAAAGTGTTTTTTGTTCTTCACCACGCATTTGTTTAACAGGATTATAATTTTCATTCATAAATAGGGAAAATATGAAGTTAAGTACTAGTTCCAGGTCATATTTTCAAGTCTGTGATAACAAAGGAACTGAAGCTATAAGACTGACTTAATTTACTGATACTCTCACCTTCTCTCTCTCCTTTTTTTTGTTTGAAACAAGGTCTTGCTTAGGTGCCCAGGCTGGAGTGGTGTGGTGGCACAATCCTGAGTTTGGTAGCTCACTGTAACCTCAAACTCCTGGACTCAAGCCATCCTCCAGCCTCAGTTTTCCTAAGTGCTGGGATTATAGATGTGAGCCACTGTATGCTCAACTGTCTCTTGTGTTCCTGGTTTCACCCAAAAGGAATACATATTATCTTTTTTTTTTCTTGAGACAGAATTTTGCTCTTGTCGTCTAGGCTGGAGTGCAAACCTCCACCTCCCAGGTTCAAGCAATTCTCCTGCCTCAGCCTCCTGAGCAGCTGAGATTACAGGTGCTCGCCACTATGCCCGGCTACTTTTTTTTGGTATTTTTAGTAGAGATGGAGTTTCACCATGTTGGCCAGGTTGGTCTCGAACTCCTGACCTCAGGTGATCCTCCCACCTTGGCCTTCCAAAGTGCTGGGATTACAGGCATGAGCCACCGTGCCCAGACAGGAATATATATTTTCAGAACACATCTGGAAACATTTTCCAGATATCACAACAGTGTTTTTCTTCAGCACTAAGATAAATACAATGTTTCTGTGAGAAACACTGTTTTCATCTCATAACATAACTTTGTTTTCATCTCACCTTATAAAAGTAAAACGGCTGCAAGTTGAGAACTTCAATAATCCAAGGAAAAGTACGAGGTGAGCTATAGGCAAAGAGCACAATTTCCAAACAACAAGCCATCAAGGAATGATGAAATATATCTTGCTCTAAAAGAACCTGGGGGAAGAGAAAGACCACAGTTTAATATTTTTCAGCAATTTCAGTCTTTGCCATTGTACAAAGAAAACTATGGTAACAAGAAACAATAACGTGCAAATTATATTATACTAGATTACTGGAGATAAAAATTTCAGTTCTCAAACTGGTAGTTTTCCTGTGATACCTAATCTTGCTCAGTGGTAGGTAATAAATTTAAATAAAGGGTACATAACAATCTGCTTTGAAATCTGAACAAATAATATGTCAGTATTCCCATCAACAGAAAAGCATGAGAATTGGTTGTTTCTTTTCTTAATGACAGTTAATTGTTTTGTCAACATAAGGATTTATCAAAACAGAAATGAAAGGTAATACGCCACAGTTTAGACAAAAATGTTTAGAAAAAGAAATATTTCACTGAGAAAATAAAAGCCCTACTTTACCATTACATTTAATATAAGTTTTCAGTTTTAAAAACAGTGTTTGTTGCCTTCTTTCTTTCAAATATCACCCCAGATTGGCTGAGCGTGGTGGCTCACCCCTGTAATCTCAGCACTTTGGGAGGCCAAGGCAGGTGGATTACTTGAGGTCAGGAGTTCAAGACCAGCTTGGCCATCATGGTGAAACCCCCTCTCTACTAAAAATACAAAAATTAGCTGGGTGTGGTGGCGCATGCCTGTAATCCCAGTTACTCCAGAGGCTGAGGCAGTGGAATCACTTAAACCTGGGAGGCAGAGGTTGCAGTGAGCCGAGATCACGCCACCACACTCCAGACTGGGTAACAGAGTGAGACTCAGTCTCAGAAAAAAACAAAAAACAAAAACAAAAAAAACAAATATCACCCCAAATCAAGAGAGGATAAAAAACAGAAACTCCATCATCAGTTAAACTAGGAGTCATCTGTAACTGTAAACCACAATATATGAAGGATGACAAATTACTTAGCAGAAGGGATGATGGTCAAGCCTAAGGGCCCGCAGTGAGACATTTAAAACAAATGAATCTGCTCTAAAAGACATAGCAACTGAGGACACAGGCAGAATGGGAAGTAGGGGTGAAGCACTGGGTGGGTGATCTGAAAGTCTTAGGATCCTCAGGTCCCCACACAACTCCCACTCTATGGGATCAGATGACAGACCTCTATTCTGTCTCCACAGGAATCTACAGGATTATTCTCCAGAGAAATTGAACTGAAGACTCAGAGGTAGAGAACATCAGGCACAGAAAAGACTAAGGTTTTAGTCTTTAGAGACTCTGCAGACTGAACCATAAGACCAAATTTCCCTCCTTCTTCTGATCCACAACACCAGCAGCCAGGCAAGATGTTAACAGATATGTCTCTGGAGAAACTGAGATATTCCAGAAAAGTTTTATGGGCACCAGCAGATGAGATTCTCTAACACTATCTGATCATCTGAGGTCAACGGACTTTTTATTTCCACTCTTGAAATAAAAGAGCTTTGAAACAAACTTTTACTGCCTCACTCACACAGCTTTGAACACAAGTTTTTGTGTCTCATTCAAATTTAAGTGGACAACCAAGAATTATCCGACATTTGAGGAAAACCTCTTAACTGAAAAACATAGGTCAAAACAAACAGAAAAGCAAGGTGCAGCAGCATGTACCTGTAGTCCCAGCTACTTGGGAAGCTGAGGCAGGAGGATCACTTGAACCCAGCAGTTGACACTAGCCTGAGCAACATAGCGAGACACCATCGTACTGAAAAAAAAAAAAAGAAGAAAAAAGAAGAAGAAGAAAAAAAAAGCCAGGTGCAGTGGCTCATGCCTGTAACCCCAGCACTTTGAAAGGCCGAGGCGGGTGGATTAGCTGAGGTCAGGAGTTCGAGACCAGCTTGGCCAACATGGTAAAACCCCATCTCTACCAAAAAATACACAAATTTGCTGGGCGTGGTGGCATATGCCTATAATCCCAGCTACTCAAGAGGCTGAGGCAGGAGAATCGTTTGAATCCGTGAGGCGAAGCTTGCAGCGAGCCGAGATCACACTACTGCACTCCAGCCAGGGCGACAGAGCGAGACTCTGTCCCCCTCCTCCGCCAAAAAAATTAAAGATCCGCTATCTGCAAATGCAGATTTTCGTGAAAACCCTTACAGGGAAGACCATCACCCTTGAGGTTGAACCCTTGAACACAACAGAAAATGTAAAGGCCAATATCCAGGATAAGGAAGGAATTCCTCCTGATCAGCAAAGACTGATCTTTGCTGGCAAGCAACTGGAAGATGTCTGATTACAACATTCAAAAGGAGTCTACTCTTCATCTTGTGTTGAGACTTCGTGGTGGTGCTAAGAAAAGGAAGAAGTCTTACACCACTCCCAAGAAGAATAAGCACAAGAGAAAGAAAGAAGGTTAAGCTGCCTATCCTGAAATATTATAAGGTAGATAGAACGGCAAAATTAGTTGCTTTCGTCGAGAGTGCCCTTCTGATGAATGTGGTGCTGGAGTGTTTATGGCAAGTCACTTTGACAGACATTATTGTGGCAAATGTCTGACTTACTGCTTCAACAAACCAGATGTCAAGTAACTGTGTATGAGTTAATAAAAAACATAAACTAACATTTTTAAAAAATTAAAAATATTTTTTAAAAAGAGAGAAAAAAGGCTGGACACAGTGGCTCACACCTGTAATCCCAGCGCTTTGGGAGGCTGAGGTGGGTGGATCACCTGAGGTCAGGAGTTGGAGACCCACCTGACCAACATGGAGAAACCCTATCTCTACTAAAAATACAAAAGTAGCCAGGTGTGGTGGCGCATCCCTGTAATCCCAGCTGCTTGGGAGGCTGAGGCAGGAGAATCGCTGGAATCCAGGAGGCGGAGGTTGTGGTAAGCCAAGATCTTACCATTGCACTCCAGCCTGGGCAACAAGAGTGAAACTCTGTCTCAAAAAAAAGAAAGAAAAAAAAAAAAGAAAAAAGAAAGAGAGAAAAATGGAGAAAAATTCAGGAGAAACAGAGGTGAAGCAGTTAAGAAAACTTCAAATATATCTAAATTAGTAACTTTAGAGAACATGAAAGAGAAATGAAAATATAGTTGAAATTAAAAGTTCATTGGGACGAGATGAAAACTTAAGGCAATATCTTTAAAAGTAGAATAAAAGAGATAAAGAAATGGAAAATAAGAGAAGAAATTAAGAAGGTCAATTCAGAAGGTCCATCATCTGAAAAATAAAAGTTCCAGAAAGATAAATCAGTGGGCAATATATCATCTAAGAAATAACACAATAAAATGACCAAAACTGCAGGGCATAAATTTCTAAACTAAACGGGCAACTCTGTGCGAATGACAAATACATGAATGAAAAAAACACAGTCAGATACATTTTTACAAATTTAAGAACATCAGTGATAAAAGATAAAGATTCCAGAAAAAAAAACAGGTCACATACTACTAAGTGAGAATGCGAATGTCACTGGACTTCTCATTAGTAACAGTGGAATTTATAATAGAAAATAATGCAACAGTGCCTTCTAACTCATAAAAGAAAATGATTGTCAGTCTAAAATTATTTTCTTTTTTAAAGTTAATTTTTTGTTTTTAGGGATGGGGTCTTGTTATGTTGCCTAGGTTGGAGTACAGTAGCTATTCACAGTACAATCATCCTACACAGTGTACATACAGTACATACTGCAACCTCAAACTCCTGGGCTCAAGCAATCCTCTTGTCTCAGCCTCCCACCAATCTTTTTTTCTTTTTTTGTCTGAGATGGAGTGTTGCTCTTGTTGCCCAGGCTGGAGTGCAATGGCGTGATCTCGGCTCACTGCAACCTCTGTCTCCTGGGTTAAAACGATCCTGCCTCAGCCTCTCCCAAGTAGCTGGGATCACAGGCATGTGCCATCACGCCTGGTTAATTTTGTATTTTTTAGTAGAGACAGGGTTTCACCATGTTGGTCAGGCTGGTCTAGAACTCCTGACCTTAGGTGATCCACCTGCCTTGGCCTCCCAAAGTGCTGGGATTACAGGGGTGAGCCACAGCACCCGGCCTCTCCCACCAATCTTGAATTCTGTACGTAGACAACTATCAATCAATTATGAGTCTAAAATAAAGGTACTTATGCAAAATCTTTAAAAGGGACTTTAAGTGAGGTAAGGTTTCTATACTTAGTTAAATGGCTATACAAAACATCTATAAAAAAAAAAAAAAAACTTTACAAGGCTCTAAAAAATGTTCAAGTTACCCACAGGAAGGGAGGAAAAAGAAAACAAAATTTAAAAAAAGAGAACAAACAGAAAACAAAAATAAAATGGCAGACTTAAGCACTAACATGATAATTACTAAATGTAAGTCATCTAAATTTACTAATTAAATGACAGAGATTAGCAAAGATTAGGAAAAAAAATAATCCAACTATATACTGACTATAAGAAATTCACTTCAAAGATCACTTGAAAAAGGATGAAAAAAAATATGCCACGCAAACATTAATGAAAAGAAGGCAGGAGTGGTTGTGCATAAACATCAGGTAGATTTCAGAGCAAAGAAAATTACCATGGACAGAGAGGAACATTTTATTTATTTATTTAATTTTTAATTTTTTTTTTTGAGATGGAGTCTCACTCTGTTGCCCAGGCTGGAGTGCAGTGGTGCAATCTTGGCTCACCACAACCTCCGCCTCCCAGGTTCAAGCAATTCTCCTGTCTCAGCCTCCCGAGTAGCTGGGATTACAGGTGCACGCCACTATGCCTGGCTATATTTTTAGTAGAGACGGGGTTTCACTATGTTGGCCAGGCTGGTCTCGAACTCCTGACCTTGTGATCCACCCAGCTTGGCCTCCCAAAGTGCTGGGATTACAGGCGTGAGTCACCGTGTCCAGCCTTATTTATTTATTTTGAGATGCAGTCTTGCTCTGTCTTCCAGGCGGGAGTGCAGTGGTGTGATCTTGGCTCACTGCAACCTCTGCCTCCCGGGCTCAAGCAATTCTCCTGCTCCAGCCTCCCAAGTAGCTGGGATTGCAGGCACCTGCCACCATGCCCGGCTAATTTTTGTATTTTTATTTATTTGTTTTTTTGAGATGGAGTCTCACTCTGTTGCACAAGGTGGAGTGCAGTGGTGTGATCTTGGCTCACTGCAGCCTCCACCTCCTGGGTTCAAGCGATTCTCCTATCTCAAACTCCTGAGTAGCTGGGACTATGGGCACTCACCACCACCCCTGGCTAATTTTTGTATTTTTAGTTGAGACGGGGTTTTGCCATGTTGGTCAGGCTGGTCTCGAACTCCTGACCTCAGGTTATCCACCTGCCTCGGTCTCCTAAAGTGCTGGGATTAGAGATGTAAGCCACCATGCTCAGCCTTTTATATGTTTAGTAGAGACCGTGTTTCGCCATGTTGGCCAGGCTGGTCTCGAACTACTGACCTCAGGTGATCCACCTGCCTCAGTCTCCCAAAGTGCTGGGATTATAGGCGTGAGCCACTGTGCCTGGCCAGGGAGTAACATTTTATAATGATTAGAGAGTCAATTCATTAAGAAGGCAGACAGCAATCCTAAATGTGTAAGCATCAAACAGCAGAGCTTCAAAATATGTGGAGAAAAGCTGACAGACTTGAAAGAAATAGACAAATCTACAATCATACATGAATACTTCAACATCCTCTATCAACAACTGATATAACAACTAGACTGGAAATCATGAAGAATATAAAATAACAACATCAACCAACAAGATAAAATTGACATTTACAGAATACTCCATCTGAACATAGCAGAATATAGCAGATCCTTGAATAACAGGATCTCATCATTTTGTTATAACAATGAAAAATAACGGATTCCCAGCTGGGGCCACCGTATGAAATTTGTACATTCTCCTATGTCTGCATGAGTTCTCTCTGGGTACTCTGGTTTCTTCTTACATTTCAAAGATATGTACATTAGCTTAATTGACGTATCTAAATTGTGACAGTGTAAGTGTGGGTGTGTGTGTGTCCTATGATGAAATGGTGTCCTGACTAGGGTTGGGTCCCGCGTTTCATCTTGAGCTGCTGAGGTAGGCTCTAGCCACTCATGACCCTGAACAGGAATAACTGGGTAAGTAATAATCTTCCTTATTTTTATTACTCTTTCTCTTACTTATTTCAACATTTAACATTGTAAGTGTTTTGTCTTTATTTAGAAGTTTGATGATGTTTTTGTGACTAGACATATACCAAAGGAACTTAAACTCTTGCTTATACCAGTTAGCCTATGGTAAAATTGGTTTCATTGTATGTTGTTTTTGCTTAAAGTCACTGTTTCCAAGAACCTACTGACAAGGT